CGCGCGAATCCTGAACTTTGGTTTGTACAAGTCGAAGCCGTCTTCGCTGTACACCGTATCACAACAGACTCTACAAAATACAATCTAGCTGTGGCGAACCTTGATCCCAATACGGTAGTCGAAGTTGCAGACATTTTGCGTTCGCCCCCGACTGCAGAGAAATATACCGCCCTTAAAACCGCGATACTTGCACGCTTGATGGACTCCGCTGATAGGCAATTGCACAAAGCTCTTACAGGTCTCGAGCTGGGCGACCGCAAGCCCTCACAGCTACTACGGCAAATGCAGCTTTTAGCCGGAGATCGCGCTTCAAATGATGTCCTTCGTGTAAAATGGCTCGACTTATTGCCGCCAACCACGCGACGTTTGCTGCAGGTATTTAAAGCATCCAATCTCGAGGAATTGGCAGTTGCCGCCGACGAAATTGAGGACCTCAACCCGACAGTGGTGTCCACATCAACCAGCAGCTCCAACCTGGCAGCCGTGACGCAGCCATTCAAACCATCGCACCCGCAGGCCGATATGGTTGCCGCCGAGTTGGTTTCATTGCGCACTTCAATCAATCAGCTAACCGCAAATATCAAGTCGCTGGTGGCAGGTGCTCCGCGCACATCAGTTGGGCCACGAAGAGGTCGCAGTCGCTCACGGACGCCATCTCAAGCGCGGGAGAGCTCTTCCACATCTGCTCGATCTGAACGCGTGTGCTGGTATCATAATCGATTTGGCTTGCAGGCGAAATATTGTCACTCCCCATGTTCATACGCCAAGGCTTCGGAAAACTAGGTCCACCGACGCCGCATAAGGTGGTCGCCGTTGGTGAGTTACTCATTGAAAACCGCCTTCTTGTCACAGATAAACGCACATCCATGCGATTCCTAGTGGACTCCGGATCCGTAATCTCACTCATCCCCAGAAAGGCGATATCAAAGCGCCTTCCACGGCAAGAGCTGGACCTGCACGCAGCCAATTCTTCTGTCATCGCAACTTATGGCACGAAAGAATTATCACTGAATATTGGTCTCCGGCGAGATTTTACCTGGCACTTCACCATTGCTGACGTCCAATTGGCAATCCTTGGAGCCGATTTTCTGCAGAATTTTGGCCTTATCATCGACTTGCGACAAAAATGCATTATCGACCCGCTAACATCACTATCGACTCCTGCTCAACTCGCGCCAGCAGAAGTGCATAGCGTGGCAATTGCTCCAGGTGTCAGTGTGCCCGACGGTGACCTTGGGTCCGTTTATGCGCGGCTTGTCCGTGAGTTCCAGAGCTCGCCGGCTAATCGCAAAACGATGGCAGTCCTGTCCGACTTTCCAGTACAACACGTCATTGTTACTAATGGACATCCAGTTTTTGACCGTCCCCGTCGCGTCTGGAAAGCGTCTAGCAGCTGCGAAAAATGAATTTGATTTACTGTTGAAAAGTGGAGTTATCCGGCCTTCTTCAAGTCAGTGGGCCAGTCCTTTACATATGGTACCAAAAAAAGGTGGCGGTTGGCGAGCGACAGGGGATTATAGACGTCTGAATGCCACCACAGTCCCTGACCGCTACCCTCTACCTATCATAGAGGATCTTCTACAGGAAAGCAAAGGATCGGTATTTTCCGTCGTGGATCTCCATCGCGCTTTCTATCAAATCCCTGTGGCAGCCAAGGATATTGCAAAAACCGCCGTTACAACGCCTTTTGGGTTGTACGAATTCATTGGTATGCCAATGGGACTTCGCAACGCCGCCCAGACCCTCCAGCGGACAATGAATCATCTCCTTAAAAAAATGGATTTTGTCAAATGCTACGTCGACGACATCTTGGTCCATTCCAAATCGCACGAAGAGCACCGGCATCACCTCATTGAACTCTTCACAGTGCTTCAAGCTGCAAACCTCCATCCCAATTGGGCCAAGTCAACACTGGGCGCATCACAGGTAATTTTCGCAGGCTATGATGTTTCGAAAAACGGCTTCAAACCACCCGCTGCCAAGGTGCAAGCGATTCTCAACTTCCCAAAGCCACTCGATTGAACTGAGCTTCGGCGTTTTTTGGGTGTGATGAATCATTATCGTCGTTGCATCCCTCATGCAGCCCACCTGCAGGCTCCATTGACCGAGTTTTTAAAAGGAGCTCCAAAAAAGCAGGTTAAATTACAGTGGTCTGAAGCGGAAGAAAAAGCATTCATCGATTGCCGCGCAAGTATCGCTAAAGCTGTCGGCGCCGCCTTTCTCGAGCCCGCAGCCCGTCTCGCACTTCGCACGGACGCTTCTAGCAACGCCATTGGCGCCGCCCTAGACCAGTGGCAAGAAAACAAATGGGTTCCTTTGGCATTCTTTTCCCGCAAGCTCTCCCCCACTGAGCAACGATACAGCACCTATGATCGTGAGCTCCTTGCAGTGTTCGCCGCAATCAAAAACTTCAGGCGGATTCTCGAAGGACGCCCTTTCACAATTTCTACGGACCATAAGCCGTTAGTATACGCCCTCGCCCAACGTGCAGATAAGGCATCTCCCAGGCAAGTAAATCATCTGGATTTTATCGCTCAATTTGATGCACGATTTGAGTTCACCCCAGGAGCAGAGAACTGTGTCGCTGACGCGCTCTCTCGCTCATGCACCATCGCATGGCCAACTATGTTAGATGCGGCCACGATAGCGACGGCCCAAGTTACAGATGAGCAACTGCCACACTTACTCCGTAAGTCAAAAATCAAACTACGTTCCCTCAACCTCGACGGCCACATGCTTTACTGCGTGGCTTATAACAATTTATTGAAGCCGTACATACCAGTTCAATTACGACGTCAAGTCTTCGATGCTGTTCATAATCTGGCGCATCCAAGTGGTCGCGCCACTGCAAAAAAGATACAAGAAACGTACTATTGGCCCAGCCTAAGAAAAGACGTCTTTCGATGGGCACAGCATTGCGAAAAGTGCCAACGTGCCAAGGTCTCTAGGCACAATCGCGCAGAACTTGGTAAATTCGACACACCGAACACAAGGTTCCAACACATCCATGTGGACCTCATCAAGCTTCCACTCACGGATGGGTTACAATTTTGTTTAACGGTGATAGACCGTTTCTCTCGTTGGCCTGTCGCAGCCCCCATTACAGACAAGTCAGCCGAAGTGGTTGCCCGAGCGCTTTGGGAGAATTGGATTTGTATGTTTGGAACACCGCTCACAATTACATCTGACCAAGGTAAGGAGTTTGAGGCCAAATTAATTGCCGCTCTATATCGTAGAATCGGAGCTAAACACCAGCACACGACTCCTTACCATCCTAAGGCAAATGGCATGGTGGAGCGGCTCCACAGAACGTTAAAAACCGCCCTTATGTGCCACCCACAGACACCGTGGCCACAAGCACTGCCCTTGGTTCTCCTCGGCATGCGTACAGTTTTAAAAGAAGATTTGCAAGCCTCACCGGCGGAAATGGTTTTTGGAACCTCGTTGAGAATACCGGGAGAGTTCTTTCGCACCCAAGAACCGCCCGTCTCTGAAACAACTTTTTTGGACAAACTGCGCTGTCTCTCGCAAGCCATCCGTCCAGTTCCTGCGTCGAATCACGCAGGAAGCAAACCATTCTTTTTCACAAGCTTACGCACCTGCACCCACGTGTTCTACAAGATTGGGAAAATACGCAGCCCACTGGAGCCTCCGTATTCAGGTCCACATCTGGTCAAACGCCGTATTAACGATCGCAACTACGTCATTGAAGTAAATGGGAAAGAAAAAACAATTTCCACAGACGACCTCAAACCTGCATTCATTGAATTCTCCGAACCCAGCAAGCCGACTTCTAGATTAATAGACAGCAGTCCAACACCACCTCTGTTACAGGATCCTCAGGTATCGCCGCCAAAACCAGCTCGAATGTCACATGCTACAAAAAGAAAAATGGTTTCGTTCCCTGCATCTTGTGCTTGCATATGCAGTTGATCTGTTCATTATTTTAATTCATTAATTTAGTTATAGAATCGTAGTGTTAATTTATAGTTAAATAAACAAAAGATCTATATATATAATAGTGTACAATGTAAAAAGAGCATAAATAACTGTCAGCTGATATTTAAATGTGGCAAAACCTGTTAGCTGGGCGTCCAAAGTTAGCGGGCGCTAGCGCGCGCGGCGAATTTGAATTTTGATGACCCAGCTAACACATTTTTCCACGTTGTCGTGTCAGCTAACAAGTGGTTTCCTTTTTTTTTTACCATAAACTGATGAGGTACTCATTTCCATGCATGCTGATGTCATATTATTGGAGAGAAATATTATTGAAAGAGAATACATGAGTAAAATGGTATCACATACTGTATAATAATATTATACATAAATTGAAACCTTGTATTTTATAATTTGCCACGCTTTTGAACCAGCTGACGCCCCTATCGTTGATAGGTTATGGATCAAAAATCTATAGTAGAAAGATGAACTTTGCGAAAATGGTCCGGTCAAATAGGACGCTACTATAAATAAATATAAATTTTTATATTTTTCTAGTAAAGAAAAACATAGCTACCGCCTTTTTCCAAATAGATACTGATCAATGCATGAAAAATGCCCTAAAGTTACTCGCCTTATATTCGATCTCTAGTTTTTTTTTTCTATTGATACAAAATATTTACCAATTTAAAAACTATGCGGTTGGCTTATCATCTATTTCTCAACAAAATTTAACAAATTAAATAGACATAACATTCAGTAAACATTAAGTGGAATTATAATTATTAATACAAATTACGATTCAAATAAGAACTTATGTTAATTAATAGTCGACCCCCAAAATCAGTTTTCGTTTATGTCGATCCATGGGAAACCACTTTGGCAAACCATATTCTAGATAAGATCTTTGTCAGTTTAAACCGAGAGCCACATCTATATACATAAATACATTATATACGTCGTTTTTAACTATTCAACCTTTTTTAAAATAAATTCTCCCCATAACATTCCGTGTAATTATTTCCCATAGTATACAAAGATCCGAAGTAAAATTTGCATGTTACTTCGCTTGTACAAGGTAACTATAATTCCGTAACATTATGTGAACCTACATATACCTACACAAGGTAATTTAGTGAAGGTGTCTTGTTAGTTCAAACCGATCGACGATCCACAATCATGATGAATAAAGCAACATGTATTTCAACAATGATCGGAAATATGTACATTAGGCATTGCAGCCAAGCTTCAAGGTTTAAGGGTAAAGTAGCCCTTATTTCGGGAGCCACACGGGGGTAAGCAATTTCCACGATTCCCGTTAGAGATGTTTTTATATAATATCCAGGTTACATAAAGAATCTGAATGACCTACATTATCTTTTTATAAAAGTGCCTTTGTAATTAATGAGTGACAAAAAGCGAATTTATGATTTTGAACTTTCCGTCCGTCCGTCTGTGTACATGATAACTCACGAACAGTTTCGAATTTTCCAGTTCTGTTTTCAGTAATAGATAAACAATGGTCAAGGGACTAAGTGATTAAATGTCGGTCGATACTCGTCAACCGGAAGTGACCTTGTCGCTCGTTGTCTATATTGGTGCAGTTTATTGTAAGTTAAAATACTAACGAAACGCAGCTGAGCTAGTTTTCTTATAATACTAAACCAATCACCAGTTTTCTAGGTTTCAATATTTATCATACTTTTAGTATTTATTGTAAAAATGTAAATGCAATTGATGTTACAGAATTGGGTTGGCCACAGCAAGAAGATTTGCACAAGAAGGTGCTAAAGTGATCATTTCCAGTAGAAAACAGAAAAATGTTGACGAAGCATTACAAACACTACATAGTGAAGGGCTTGAAGTTACGGGATTAGCTTCCCATGTTTCCAAAGAAAGCGACAGAAGAGCTCTACTTTATGAGGTATAATATTTCCTCATTTCATGATACTGTGTTGTAATATGACGACCCCATTTTTACAAATTCGAAATACTTCTTGGAAATGAGCTGAGCCATACCCGTATGCTACCTTTGAACCAGTCAAGTCAAGAGTATACCATGCCCCCATAAAAAATATTAAGCAAATCACACAAACACGTACAGCACAAAGTTTAACTTAGTGTTTTTCAGGCAGAAAATCTAGGAGGAATAGATATTTTGTTTCAAAACGCAGGTGCTCATCCTAATCCGGGTAAAATTGTTGACGTAAATATCAAAAAGTTTGTGTATTATTTCGGATGTACATATTTTTACTGTTTTTAGTGCACTGAAGGTATGTGGGATAAAACGATGGATACTAATCTGAAGGCGTCATTTTTTCTTGCAAAAGAAAGTTTGCCATTAATACAAAAACGAGGAGGAGGGTCAATTATCTTTATGAGTTCAATAGCTGCATATTCACCGTTCAAGGTACAAAGACATCTCGAAGTTTCTACTAAAACATTAACTCTTTTGCAATGTTAGGCTGGAGGTGCTGTATATAGTGTGAGTAAGGGTGGATTACTGGTCCTTACTAAGGCAATGGCAGGTGAATTTGCAGAATATAATATAAGAGTGAATTGCGTGGCGCCTGGTATTATCGATACCGAGTTTGCAAGAATAGTGAGCAATACGGCAACTTAAAGTAAATATTTTAAGGCATTTACATTTTAGCTCGGGCCACATCTCGATGAACTTTTAAAGACCGTGCCGCTAAACAGGTAATCCAAAACGTATCGCATAACATCTGTAAAAAAGGCTATTACTTCATTAACTCACGTCGCATCAGAAGTGTACGGTGCCCTACAATTTTAAAAGATAGTTATCATAAGTGTTTTATCGAAATGATAATAGAAAAACTGGCTTCCACGTGGAGTCTGCAAAATTTTAGAACTTACCGCCAGTTTCTATACAATTCTTTTAATTAGGAATATAAATCCAGTCAAATTAGCTCCAAAAGTACCCACTCTAAACTGTTGTTACTTCACTCAACGAAACCAAGTATATTCTATTAGTAAAAAAATCCGCTAAATCCGAAAATCGTAGTCCGCCTGGAGGGACATTCCTGGAACATATTGTTAGAAACAAAAAACGAAGAAAAAATGGGTTTTTAACTTCAATTTTCAACTATTGCTCTGAGGAAAAAATGAAGAGGGATGAATTTGTTCAGAATCGAATATTCTATAAGATACAGTTGGCCGGGAACGTTACATTTTCAAATGTTATTGTTTTTTATGGAAAAAGTAATCCCCAAATATAACAATTTGTTAGTAAAATTCATCCGATATTTGTATTTGGTCACTTCTTTTCATAACAAAACAATATGACAAACCCGATCACCGTAGGTTCATAGTCATTCATTAATTAAATAAAAAAATGATGCTTTAGCTTTCGAATTGGATGACTCCCAGAGCGTTTCCAATTTTTTTACAGTTAGTGGAACCTTAAAACCACCTATCCAACAATTTGCACATTCTTGTCCAAAATACGATTTTTTTCAGATGCGGAAAGACGGAAGATGTTTCTGGAGTTGTTGCGTTTCTAGCGTCACAAGATGCAAGTTTCATAACGGGAGAGACCATTGTTATATCAGGAGGTATGATTTCGAGGATATAGACCGCAGAACAACACCGGTTGCAATGTTAATAAGGAATTAATTAAAGGTCAAATGTGTATTTATTTATTTATTTATTTATTTATGAATTTATTTATTTACTTTTTTATTTATTTATTTATTGTCACTCTCTTGTTCTGAGCCCTCAACAGGCTTTCGCCCAATTACAGAGTGACCCGCATAATGCTTTTTAGATGTGCCCCTGCAGAAGGTCTTAAAGCTGTTCTATACTACTCCGGTATTTACTTACGAATTAGGAAAGCTGCAGGAAAACCTAATGCGGAGTAGCCGACAGAATGTTCGAAACCGATCTAAGGAAATTCCCATCTCTGCCACTGATAAAAAATTCGTACCTCAGTCCAGGTTCGAACCATCGACCTCCCTGGCTTAAACCACCCAAAGTTATCCATTAATTTCCCAGCGTGCGTACGGCACCAAGGCGCATGTTCTGAGACGCGCTAACGCCCTACCCATTCGCCCTACGTCAAAATGTCATTTGATCTTTTTGTCTCAAATTTTGTCTACTTTAAAAATTTCCAGATAATTTTTCTCTGAAATAAACAAGATGACGGTTTTTTTTAAAATAGATATTTTTTCTTTTTTTCAAAATTTGGGGGGTTGCGGGGGGGAATTTTTGGTAGGAAGCTGAAAATTCGGATTCATAGGCACAGAAAACATAAAACAAGACTATGTTCAGAACTACCATATGAACTTTGCATCCTAAAATTACATATTTCCTGGACTAATTTATCTCCCTGGAAAGAGGAATCGAATTAATGACGTGTCGTTAATTGTTAGTCAAGTTTTCTTTTCAAATTATTTAATAATGTTGTTGAGTTCTGTACGTGTAAACTAAAAACGATTTGTCGATGAAGTGCTCCATTGCTTTTGAGGGTAATGATGATGTAGGCTATCGATTTCGACTGACATCTCCCCGGCATTATGGCTCAATGGTAGAGCGTTGAGTTATAAATCCGGAGGTCGGGTGTTCGAACCTGGGTTGAGGTGAATTTTTCATCTGTGGCAGGGATGGAAATTACATTAGACCAGTTTCGAGAATTCTGCCGGCTACTCCGAATTAGGTTTTCCTGCAGTTTTCCTAATTCGTAAGGTAAATACCGGAGTAGTTTAAGACCTTCTGCAGAGGCACCTCTAAAAAGCATTATGCGGGTCACTCTGTAATTGGGCGCAAGCCTGTTGAGGGCCCAGGACAAGAGAGGGATAATAAATAAATAAATAAATCTTCAGGCCGAGCTAGAAGTTTACATTTAAATAAGAAATATGTGGTTTTTACAAAAGTGTTACCGTCAAAAATAGAAATTTACATAATTGGAAGTGTGGTGATTGCAGATTTTCCTTATAAAAGCGTAATTCCTAGAATTGTTAAATCTAGGGCAATTTATCGTTTATTTTTATCAATTTTGCTTTGTTAAATCATTCAAGTGACAGTTCTGATTGAATTTATTTTGTTAAAAGGTTAATGTAATTTATTAGAGATAAGAATGCGTTTTAATGAGCAAAAACTGCGTGTTTTTCGTGGAAAAATGTTATTTGAGATAAGAGAATTCCGCGCAAAAATTGTGATACGTGAGGTTATGCAGGGGCAAGGAACGGATACAGGGTTGGCTTGATGCTACGTAGTAGTAGTAAAACATTGGCTATATTTTGGAAACGATTGAAAATAAGAATGAAGTTTATTTGCGTTTTTGTCTTCAAATAACCTCTACTTTAATTTCCCACAATATTGCACATTCCTTTTGGGTCACCCTGTGTATACCTACATCCAAATACCAATTAAGGAATTAACATCTGCGTCTTCAAAATTACTTCATTATTACTGTTTGTCCTTGAAATGTAACTGATCACTTATGCCATCGTGTAAATGTATAACGAGGCGTACTTCCTTAACCAGTTTCAGTCCATCCAAAAAACTGTCAGCAACTTCCTGGCTGTATATGCGTTCCGAATTCAGATCATTCACAACGTTTCTTCGAATACATATAGGTAGTACAATTATTTTTTAGAAAAATCCAATCGGCTTTTTTACAATGCCATCAAATGTTTTTGATAATCTAAGACGCATTTTAATAGAATTTGTTGTTTGAACACCATCCTCTTGATTCCCGACAGTTGCGATCATAGGCAATGAGTAAAATTGAGCACCACCATACTAGTATTTACGAAAATATTCGAATCGGACGTGCTTGCGTTTAAATAACTGCACTCCATGACGTTAATATAAACTTAACTTGTTAAAAATTACTATTCCATTGCTGTAATTGACCGTTTTGTATTCAACGATATTCTTTAAAATAATGTCATTTTATATTCACGTTTTGTTTTTTAAAGTTCAGTAAATAATTTTAAAGCAGTTATACGAGTACATACTTTAATATTTAAAGTGGTAGTATTTGTATTCCTTGTGAAAATGTCCGTGCAACATAATAAAAAGCCATCTTTGAACTCATCAGTATGTTTTACCTTAAATAGTGGCATATGTACGCATTATGATGTCCTGCATCTATAATTTATGATTAAATACTATTTTCCTTAGTGTCAGCGGCGTTTGTCTTTGTAGTACCTTGTCTAACAGTAGAAAGGAAAACATAATTCATTCCTTGACAGAACACACATGCCTTCCGTTAATGAAGTACGTTCAACCACGTAAAATCAACATTCTCCATTAAAAGGTTTTCCTTATATGAGCGCAGTTGGCAGTTAAGCTCTAATTACCTCTAATCAAAAATTTTAATTAGCATTCGAACATTATAGGCAATTTAAGTGAATACTCAAGCGGAATTTCAAGAAAAATGTCTTCATTATTCAACTTGGTATTGTTCAGAGAATACGTAAGAGACAAAAAACAATAAAGGGGGTAATTTATGAGACGGTTGGAAAAAGTGAAATAGTATTCTTGTAAAAGTGTGTGCCAAAAAGATAGATGTTGTAACTTGCATCTTGAACCTCCGAGGAAATAAATTTAACTTGGAGATGAATAGCTCCGTGGGCGTTCGGGTTTAGCTGCCTGTCTTCTATCGGGGTTGAAGGTTTCTCAATTTGCCACCGCATATTCATCACTGTACCACTTCATTTAAATCTGTTACGGCTGATAAAATATGTTATGTATAGTGATGATAATTTATAAACCTCCAACGAAATATAAGCGTACTAAAATAACTCATCACCTGACATTAAACATAAGTTATTTTACAGCTTGATAAATTAAAATTTACATTTTACAATATATTTTTTAAAAACGTGCATAAAATTACAAAAAAAAACTTGTTAGAGTTAGTTAGCCAATAGCTAATTTGTATATATATAAACGAATTTGTATTCCCATTGGGTAAAAATAATTTATGGCGTTTAGTGTACCAGCAGCTGAAGATGAGATAAACATCATGATTTATTGTAATGTGTGGTTCATGTCGCTTTAAAAATAATTTTATAGGTAGTTATTACTAATTCATGACTTTTGCAGATATTTGTTGGAAAAATTTCGCACACCTGACAGAAAGGCGCTTTATAGTAATAAATTCATCACAAATTGGTTATATTATTCTAGGTATCGTGCAAGTCATCGCCTAATCCATTGTGATCTAGGCTAATATGTGCCAAAGTTTTAGGTTTATTGTACGAGAATATTATGAGATAGAAAATAATGGCATTGGGATGTGTTGACATCTTCGCATTTAGTGTAATGCTGATAGACGTTGGAAAAGCAATCCAAAATTTATTTGCTGTGGTGGATTCGTGCGTCTTTCTGAAATTAACCTTGCGATCGTTAATTTGAATGTGTATAATATTTTCTCTATCGGCAAAATTTTCCAATAATACAGATCCATAGAAAATAAAGAGCTCTTTGTCGCCATTATTATTATTAGCAAGGTGTTACGTTGCTAGATTTTCATTTTAAACATACGAGTGCTGCTAGAAAAGCTTTGGAAACAATAGGCGTACAATGTGGTTATTACTTAATAGAGATTAAAAGATACTGAAATGCGCGTCGGATATATTCGGGATTTCGCTATCGTGCGAAATAAATCTTAAATGAAAATATTCGCCCTAAACACGATGTGCAGTTTTTTCGCTTGACATTCCCGGCATTTCACTGGCGTGTGGCGTATTTATTTCCTTAGATGCTTAAAACATAAAGGTGTTGACAGTGTTGTGGTTCATACTAGGCGCATTTGCAATTCTTACTGGTCTTGTGTATTAACAAATGTGTTTTAAAATTGGATCTGTGACAAAATTACACCGGTCACACTTTAAGTCCTGGTAGGATCCGTGTCTTGACAAATGTTAGCTGTTAAAATGTGCTTTAAGACTGGATTTGTGCCTGATGATGAAACCGCACTGGGCACACTTTAAATCCTCGTTGACCTTGTATGTTAAGAAATGTGTTCTATAGTTAGATTTATCATTCGTTGCATAGGCACACTGGACACATTTTAAATTCTTGGAGTCTTGTGTGTTAAAGTGCTATTGGGCATGTGTTTTTTACATGAACTTACGTGTCCGATTATCATGTTTTCTGTATGATGTCATTTCAAAGTGCGTTTGTTTAATGATCACTAAGGACAATCCGCCTTTCTGTACTCGAATAAATTGTAAAACAGCTGTGAACAGTTAAAACACTCAGAGTAGGTATTATTTATTGTTCTGAGTTCGAACATAACAAAAGCCAACATTTTTGGGTTAGATAGTATATTTGCATTCGTACCAAAATTGGTTTCTGCGCAATCATATTTTAGTTCTGGAACGATCTCTATTAGCTCGTACATTCACGTCTATCAATTTGTTAATTGTTTTTTCGACTCTGAAACAAATGCCGGCGTAATAATTGATACCCGGAGAACTGTTCTCTCCTGGCTCATTGGATTTAAATTTCTAAAGTAAAAAAATTGGTGGGCAACTTACATATAAAGAAGGCAATAACTCCAACCTTATTACGTAGATGACAATGAAAGTGATTAGCAAAGTATGTGTCCTAGGTCACAGGACATGAGCCATAATTATACCCAATTTTTTTGTTACTTATTTTAATTTGATCCTTCATTC